CAGTTCTCTGGATTTGCAGCAGAATTAGCAGAATCCTGCCTAATTCCGGCAACGAGAAGTAATCCAACTAACGAGTTCAGCGCACGTTTTTAGCTCCGAATGATGGTGCTGCAGTTGGCGGGAAAAATTTGCAAAATCATCGCTTAATCTCAACATATCATTTTAGGCTAATGATTATAATAAAATTAGGTCACAGAAACTGTAGTTAACGATCATTTTGTCGATTGAAATTTCATAAATCAAGCTATATTTTATTTCGGAATTTTATTGATATTTTCAGTACATGAAGAACTACAAGCTAATGTAAGTGGGTGGTGATGGCGGTGATGGTGGTCGGAATAAACCTAATGATGGGTTTACTCTAATTTGCCGCAGTCACAGTCTCATATGAGCTGCGTGGCATTCATCTTCAGTCACATGTCACACCACCAGGCACACCAAACGTCCCAGGCACACCAAACGTCCCAGACACACCAAACGTCCCAGACACACCAAACGTCCCAGACACACCAAACGTCCCAGACACACCAAACGTCCCAGGCACACCAAACGTCCCAGACACACCAAAGCGACCTCAGTTTTGCCGAGGCATCAATGCGCTGCAAATTAGAAGCGGGCTCTTGAGACCAGCGCTCTAAGGAAGATAATCTTCGTGTCGTTGGAATTCATCATCTCAGAAGGCGTCTCTTATTAAAGTCTGGGTGGGCATCCAGCGAGGGTGCAATGGCCATTGATACGTCAGCGACAAAAGGGTGAACAATTTTCATTAGATGCCGACTGCGTTGTTGCAGTTATTACGTGATTTCCTCAGAGTTAATTCGTATTTTAATAACTCACGGAGACCTATGCTTTAATCACTGAAAAAATTATACTTGCCTGTTTTTAGCGCATTTTCTCATTTATGGAAAAAATGCACTATTGTGCTCGTCATGTCCGTCTGTCTGTCTGTCCGTCCGTGGCTTCAAGTTTTCGTCTACGAGAAAATGCGCTCTCTGTCACTCACTGTAGTGAGTACTGAGTTATATTTTTTTTATTTTATTTGTTCTGTTGTGTGTCTTTAGCTCATCAGCCAATATCCCCTTTAAGTAAATGCCCCTCGTGCTACCATCATTCCCTTATAGCAGCTACACATCGCGCTTCTGCCAATATTGAAGTTTAGCTTTTAACAGAAAAATGCATCCCTTGGCGATATGAACAATGCAAGCTCACTGCCAGCAAGGCTACTGCGTCTGTAGTAGTGAAGGAAAATCTATTAATATATAACCATGCATGAAAAAGTATTGACGATGCTATGAAATTAGCAATATTTTTGATAAAAAGTCTCTAAGTCCAACTCCATATCAGTTCATAATTATTTAACTCTTCAATTCCAGAATTCTCAACTTGAATTTGTTATTAGATGAGTTGCCCGCCAGTTTTTATTTCAATATTCAACTTATGTAAAATATCTGTTTTATAAATAAAGTCGTACTAATTGGTAATAATTACACAATACAATTATAATATATAATATGATATTAAATACTGTAATATTATAGAATATTATAATTTCGAGTCGTTGATGAAGCAGATCTCGGAAACGGTATAGAAAAATATGTTGAATTTTCTTGGAATTTTTGCGCCTTAATTCTTAGGCGAATTTATTATCAAAGCCTCGAATGGTCGATCGCTAACATTAGTTCATATCGGATCATTTCAAGTTTGTATTCAAATGCGTTTAAATGAGACTCAGCTTGTAGGTAAGTTCTTTGAAGTATTGGTTTGCCATTAAGAAATGTCATAAATTATTAGCGTTGCATAATGAAGCTTGTTTGACTTATATAAACATGAACCTCTCGACTGCACAGGATAAATTTTTTAGTCGCATTTGACTGCTCAGGCGCATGGCGGTCCAACGGCGAGTGGATTAAGAGCTTCAGAGGAACAAGAGCGTCGGGGGAACAAGAGCGTCGGGGGAACAAGAGCGTTGGGGGAACAAGAGCGTCGGGGGAACAAGAGCGTCGGGGGAACAAGAGCTGCGAGTAAATAAGAGCTGAAAGGGAACAAGAGCCACAAATAAATAAGAGTTTAGTGGAAACCAGAGCTTTGGTGAGGTACGAGCCTGAAATGCACAAGAACTTCGTGGAAACGAGAGGTTCGAGAAAATAAGAGCTCTAATAAGGTGAAAGAATGAAATAAATAAAAGCTTCAATGTAACATAAGCTCCGAAGAGCTAAGAACATGAAAATAATAAGAGCTTCGAAGGAACAAGAGTTTCGAGGAAGTACGAGCATCAACAAATAAGAGCTTCATTGCAATAAGAACTTCGTGGAGATAGGAGCATGAAAAGATTGAGAGCTTCGGAGAAACAAAAGCTTAGGATAGGCAAGAACATCAAATATTGAAGAGCTTCGGGAAAAAGTATCGCTTTGATCAAGCGATCAGGAGTTAGAAAAAACACGTCGCAAGAAACTTATTTCGAGTTCAATTTGTGCCATGGAGTGGGGCTTAAGAGTTTCTTTCAAGAGTGATGATCGAGAGCAGTGTTCAAGAGCGGGTTCAAAAGTGATCTGCAAGAACACTTTGAATATCTTATAAAAATTGTGTCATGTTGATAAAGTTTTGATGAGGCGGGGATTGAACTAATTTTTGCAAAATTTTTTGAAGCACACGGAACTTCTAACAGAAAAATTTTTATTTCAGCGAGATTACCTTATCAATAAAACACTGGCGTCATGGGCGAAGGTTTAGCACTAATTATTTCGAATTAGGCACATTTCATTTAAAATTTTATTCACTGAATGGTATCACTGGTTACTTTTTATTTAATACGTTTCCTAAAAATGTCCATTCATGTGTAGATTGAAATTTCCACACGTATGAACAGTACTGCAGATTTACAAAAAGATGTCATTTCTGAAGTGGAATTTACAACGTACATAACTGATGAGTTGTTCATAACACATCATTTCCACATTTACGAGGGTAATTAACATTATTGCTAAGTTGACCCCCAACACATAATGTACGTCAGAGATATTAAATATATTTGGAACCTTATAATACATGACGGGTATCGCGTGAAGAAATTAATATTGAAGAAAGATTAAATTAATATTGAGTGAAATGAATTCATTTTAATTAAAAAATATCAAAAACTGCATTGCATTTGCACAAGGAAACCTCGCAAAAGAACGAATGATTTTTCAGTCACCAGCCTTCAGCCTCTGGGTCACCAGCTTTCTGTATTGATCTAAAAGGAACTTCGCAAAAGTATGGCTTCGTGGAACGCAACAATTTGCCGGCAGCATTTTTCGGAGCAAGATGAAGCATGTTTGGAATTTGAAAAAGGAGTGAAAGTTCATCTGAGGGCGGTGAATGATGGTGCAATTTTGCATCTTGCCCAGCGCGCGCAAGAAGCAAACTTGAGCGAGCGACGGCCGGGCCTTGAGCTCCATCTTCATCAATTGTTGCAGGTCGCGAACAAACGTTCATCATGTACACTTGCGACTCCGGTTTGAACTATGAAGTTTGATGGGTGTGTTGATTTACGACGTCAACGTAACATTTGCGTGTTTTCTAGTCCACATGAAATCTAATTTTAATAATGGCAAAATATTATTATGAATTTGTAAACATGTGGAAACAACCTATCATTCGGAAATACGCGAAAAATGACAAAAAATTAGTCGAGTGTTCAAAAACGTGCAACAAGGATAATTGCAGGCTTGAAGGTCTAGTCTTACGAACAAAAATAAAGCTCCAAGTCTTTGTTTTCGACGTCCGTGGCGACCTCATTAAATACTAACAGTATGCTCATGGCTTATGCAAGATTCCAGAAGGATTCTATAATATGAAATAAGAACCATCTCCAGAGGCCACGTTAATAAACAAAAAGAAAATAATACAGTGCAACTTATCCATACAAGAATACTTTCTTCTCGCTTCGAGTTATCGATTTGTAGAACAGACTCTGCTGGCACCGTTGACGCTTCTAGTATTAACGAGTTTAAAACAGAGTAGATAAAGCTATGCTGGAGTATATATTTCGATTACAAATGTCTGACATCTCACAAATTTGTGAATGTTCAGCAGATAATTAGTTTCAAAGTCAGTTTTGGACAGATCTGGTCAAAAGTTCTCAGATCTCCAGAAGATAAGGCAAGAACATTGCAAGAATGGGCGAACGTCGAAACTACTTCAACGCCGAAATTACTATACTATACGAAACTTGATATACGAGGGTTTTTTATACCATACGAAAAAAGCTCTCGAAATCTAATCCAATAATCCAATAACGATGTCGCAGAACTTTTTGCGAGAGAAAAACTTTACCATTTCTGTCCATGAACCAGTAAATTTATGAAACTTCCGACATTGTCTCTAGGTGCTAAAATGCCGCAGATCAAGCAACAGGCGGTATAACCCAGACGGGATACACGCAAGACGGGATACACGCAAGACGGGATACACGCAAGACGGGATACACGCAAGACGGGATACACGCAAGACGGGATACACGCAAGACAAGATAACGCAAGACTATGAAGCCTCCGAAGGGATCAAAGGGATGATCGGATTATAGTAACACAAACAACACCGAGGGCCAGTTTTTTTAAAACTAGTGAAGAGGGAAGATAAAATGACTCAATGGAAAATTACGATTTAAAAGCTTGTAAAATTTAGTGCAATATGCACATTAATGATTTTCGATTAATAATTTTAGCCCTTCCACTTGATGCCGAGCATAGTTTACAAATTTTGAGGGGAATTAATTTTTTGTTCGTCACATGTCTTAGGATGATTCGATCATCCCAGTCCTAATGGTTAAAAATAATATTTTTCAGTTTCTTTTCTTCTATGCGTCAGCACAAAATCTTATATTCGGAAGCTAGAACTCCAATTCTCCTAGAATTAAAGAGGAAAGCATTAGTGTAGGAGTACGGAGAAATCAAAAGATGTACTATGCTAACCGTATATATAATGGAAACGAACACGTGAATCTAATATACAGTACTCACTTGGATAAGTTTTCTTCCTCGAGAGGCTTCAATTTTTTCTTTTTATTGTTCTTGTCATCTTTTTTGTCGTCTCTTTTTCTCCTCTTTTCCTCGACGTCCTGACCGTTACATACCACCGCGTCCATTGAATCACTCGAGTCTGACATGAAGACCTTCTTTCCAGCCTCATCGTCCATCAGAGGCTGCGATAACTCCCCCACTAAGGGCATGTAAGAGTCCATGTGCTCCAGACCGTTTGTCATGACAATGTCCTCATCGTCCTCGTCATCAACATCCGCCTTGAGTTTCCCGTGAAGCGCGTGGTCGTGAAGTGATGAGTCATGGTGGCCGTTGTACGCCTCTAGGTCGCTGGAGGTATCGAAAGCCGATGTGGTCATAAGGCCAGCACTTGTAACTAGTGTGCCGTTACTCATTATCGTTCCGCCGCTCACTATGGTCCCGTTGGAGACTATAGTGCCGTTAGTGACTATGGAGCCATTAGCTACAATGCACTGTGCGTCCAGAAGTCTGTAGTCGATGGTGTTGTTGCTATGCTCTTCCTGTTCGTCATCTTGTTGCTGCTGGACCATCAGAGTCTCAGCAGAACAATTGGATTCAACGGATCCGTTGGACTCAACAGAAACCACGGACTCGATACAAGGCCTGAGCTGGTTTGGCAGGGCAGTCACGGCGGCAGCTGCCTCGTCTCTCGTCCTGATGGAGTCCGAAAGTTTTCTCTGAAGATCCTCAAATTTCTTCTCCTCGAGGCGCTTCTCGAGATCTTCTTCCTTGGCATGGTTGTTGTTGTTCAGATTCGCCGTGTTGATGTTAGTGCCTATGATGTTGTTATTGTTCTTAATGTTTGCGAATGATGAGTGAGCCTTAGAACGATGATTGCTATTGCTTGAGCGATTCTTGGTACATGAAGTGCTAGAGCTACCACTACTACTGCTATACTTGTGTCGGGTCGATATCGTCGAGCTACCACCACTACTACTGCTATACTTGTGCCGAGTTGATACCGTCGAACTGCCACCACTACTACTGCTATACTTGTGCCGAGTCGATACCGTCGAGCTGCCGCTACTACTGCTCCGCTCGTTCAACAACATCTCAACTTTCGCACCCCCTCCAACGTTGTTATTGTTCTTACTATTAGCATTGTTAATAATATTAAGAGCGTTGCTTCGCTGGGCCACGCAACTTCTTACGATCTTATGAACGTCTTCTTCGATGCTCGAATTGCTGTCGCCAAAAGATCGAACATTACCATCAGCGAAAGACCGGGGAATGTTGTCCGAGAACGGCCGGGAATTGTCTGGGAAAGTTCGCAGTGCTTCCTGGAGGCTTTCAGTAGGAGACTTGAGTCGTTGTGAGGCTCTGCGTGGGGCGGGGAGGACAGCTTGATCCTCTTCAGACAGCGGCTCCGGCAAGGCGCCCTCGAGGGTTGAGGAGCTGCGCAGGCCCGACCGAGTCTTGCTGCTTCTGCGCAGAAAAAAAAAACGATTTAGACAGCGTTTACTGCAGTCGAGGCAACAGGCAATTGCAGTTCATGTAGTTGAATTGACATTTATGAATACGAATAACAAAATACACGAGGTTTTCGGCACCTTTGACGAACCAATGGCATATGTTATTACAAAAAAACAACTTGCGATAATATTAACTACAATCAAGGATTATTTTGGCTTATAGTTACTTCTCAGCATAAAAAAGCTACAATTCAGACCTACAATGAAGCTCTTGACATATCATAGGACTAAAGCACAAATTTTACAACAGTGAGACAAGCTTCAAACCTCCTTCTATTCTCGAACAAAAGGCATCAGATACTATTTGTTCAGCCTTCCCTGGTAAATTGCGTCCAATCAACTTTGATTAGTGATTACGAGTTTATATCGTAAAAAAACTTTACATGATTAATAAATGCCTGAGGGGCCACACCAAAGATTGCTGCGTCACCATTACCAAGTACTGTATCGTTAATACCATTTATCCAATACAGTAAATATTAATATATCACTACTGTATTACATAAGTTCTGCATCGTGGAGACCATTATTCCAATGCACTATAGATTAATGCATCACTATGTATCACATTAGTTCTGCATCGTGAATACAATTTTTCCAATATACTGAGGATTTATGCATCACTATTACGTACACAAGTTCTGCATCGTGTACACCATTATTCCAATACTCTAAAGTTAATGGATCACTATTACATAAGTTCTGCATCGCGGATGTCATTATTCCAATACACTGAACATTAATGCATCACTATTACACTAGTTCTGCATCATTTATAACATTATTCCAATACACTTGGATATCATTTTACATTACATTACATAAGTTATGTATCGTGGATATCATTTTTCCAATGCTCTAAAGATTAATGCATCAGTATTACATAAGTTCTGCATCGTTTATAGGTACCATTATTCCAATACACTAACGATTAATGCATCACTATTACATAGGTTCTGCATCGTTCGTACCATTTTTCCAGTACACTAAAGATTAATGCATCTCTATTACATAAGTTCTGCATCGTGGATGCCATAATTCCAATACACTGAATATTAATGCATCAGTATTACATAAGTTCTGCATCGTGAATGCCATTATTCCAATAAACTAAAGATTAATGGATCACTATTACACAAGTTCTTCATCGTTTATACCATTATTCCAATAAACTAAAGATTAATGCATCACTATTACATTTATTCTGCGTCGTGGATGCCACTCTAATAATTTACCACGGATGGCTCCAGAAAATTTGTCTTCTACCGCCGTGCCCGGCAATGTCGTTCGCAGCGCCCTGCCGAGGCTAGGAAAGCAAAATTGTGCAATCGACCTGAAAGATGAGCGACCGCCAGAGGCACCGATTGCCGCCTATCGCTGGAAATCGTCGGAAAATAGTCGCGTAATGGTAGAACTTTCTCGAGAATTTCTCTGGATGATGTCTAAAAGATATTTCATAGTGCCCCGAACTCGCTTCGATATTTGGAGAAAAAACTTTGAAAGCAATTTAGTTAGGTGGGCATGACGCGTATCACATTAGAACGATGAGTCAGGCATTAAAATTCAAGACACAATTTGAGCATTTCATTTGCATTTTCAAAAAAATATGCAACAATAATACATGTATTAAAAATTAACAAGAGAGCGGAATGCAAAAAAAAATATTATTTTAGTTACCTTGATCTTAACAGAGCGATTCTGTTGCATAAATTGATTACCGGAGTAATAAGGATAGCGCCAACGCTACTAGTGAATATGACATCTAAGTTCTAACAGCAATTTAAAAAAAATTATATCAATTTTAACAATCTTGTTTTAGGCCGTTTAGTTACGTCCTAAATATTTGTTCTCAATTATTATATCCTCAAAATACCTTAGCAATACTTACATTATTTTTTATATGAACAAGCCATGAACTTCGGAACATGATAATATTTTTCGAGCAGGTATAATCCCATTAGCATCATCAGCAAAATCAATTCGATGTTAACGCGGAGTGCTGCGCTCCCATCTTATTTTTACGAGACTCTGCTGTCCTCTTCAAAGGCAAAAAATACGCTAACGAGCGTTCCAGGCACGGGCCCGAGCTGAATGCTGATCAGAGGCTCCGTCAAAATTGAATATCGAAGCAGAACATTCGGCCTCACTTTTCTATTGGGCGAGTGACGCTCGCAAGCCCACACGAAATAATTTGATGTCTTGATATCCTCGGAGTTAGAAGCTATCGATTTTATGTACAAATTATTTCCATAAATAGATTTTCTTATTGAAAATTTGAATCATAAATAATATAGATACAATGGGGAAATTTTTCATATATACAAAGCATCTCTGAATGTAAAAAAAATCGTTTATCATTTTAAAAATTACCAGCTTCAAAAATTCGTTATCTCTCAAGCAGACGCGTCATGCGGAAATTGAGCCGCTAGCGAAAATTTCCCAGGCTGAATTTTATTATAGAAATTGATTATGAAAGTATAAGCCCAATTTTTTCCGTGTTCAAGAACATACTATTAGATATTTACGCAATCTTTGTTATGAAGCACGGAAATGATCAAAGACATAATTTACAAACGCTACATATAAATTATGAGACCGCATTTTAGGCAATCATCGACGTTTCAAGCAATCCGGAACCTACATCGGACTATTCAAAAGCCAGAGATAAGTCGGCGATCATTTTTAATTACGATATGAGCAGCGGTTCTTAACGCCGCAAAGTCGCTTGAAAGTCCTCGAGCGTGGAATTAGGAAGGGCCGTACAGACGGAATTTTATTACCAATTTTTAGGGAAGTTTTTTTGTGCGAGCGAGGGCATGATAAGACGACCTGCTTCTCGATAACGGCCGGCATGAGATGCTGCGTCCGACGTTATCTGCGACTGCAGAACCTTTCATGTGCGCATCATTTCCGGGAGATCGGAGGCGAGCAGCAGGGCATCATTTCCATGATGACTGAGACGCGCAACAAGCATCATTTCCCTGCGGTAAGAGACCAGCAGGAGTGCATCATTTCCTGGACGTAGGCGGCGTGTAGCAGGGCACCATTTCCCGGACGTACGTTGGGGGCGTGCTGCAGGGCATCATTTCCTGGACGTAGACGGCGTGTAGCAGGGCACCATTTCCCGGACGTACGTTGGAGGCTGTCTCTTATACACATCTAGATGTGTATAAGAGACAGTCACTGCGTCCACACTGCAATCACTGCGCCGCTGTGCATGTTGCAATCACTGCGTCATGTCACACTGCAATCACTGCGCCGCTGTGCATGTAGCAATCACTGCGTCATGTCACACTGCAATCACTGCGCCGCTGTGCATGTTGCAATCACTGCGTCATGTCACACTGCAATCACTGCGCCGCTGTGCATGTCGCCCATTTTGCAATTGTTGCATCAGGGCGCGGGTATTGATCTGGGCGCAAGTCTACGGGTTTGCTGCGACTAATTTCAATTAAATGCAATTCGCACACAAATGCAAGTGCGAGAGCTGGATGTCATAGGAATAAATAGATGCCATGGGAATAGCTGAATCTCTGAGGGTCAACTGGTATCCGGGGAACAGAATGGCTAGTAGGAAAAATAATGGACATTTGTTATAAGTATTAGGATCACTTGGTTGCTTAAATCACAAATTTACCGGGAATTTAAAATCAAAGAAAATAGACAAAAAACTTCACCATTTCTTATGAAAGAAAACGTTTCGAAGTCCAGCTCCATCGTCAGTTCAAAACCTAGAACACAGGTACAAACAATTAGTAGCCTAAAATTCACATTCAAACAATTCATCTAAGCTCGAGGACTTTAGAACCAAAATCTAAAATAAAACAAACAAAAATGAGACAACATGAGGAGACAGTTTTTAGATAACATGCAGTCGATGGTCTCGAAAATTTTTTTTAAATAATGGAACCCATGGTGATGCCAAGGCAACCGTACAAAAAAAAAGGTAAAACACAAAGGTCGTACTCACTGCAGTGAGTGACAGGGAGCGCATTTTCTCGTCGACGAAAACGTGAAGTCACGGACAGACAGACAGACAGACGGACGGACATGAGCACAATAGTGTATTTTTTCCATAAATGAGAAAATTCGCTAAAAAAGTTTTCAATAACTAGGCACTGCAGGACAACAACTTCTCGCTACACTAGCATTCACTCATACGGACAACGTATAGTTGCACTCGCAGCGCCCGTGTTTACCAAAATCTTGAGCCTGCATCAGTGCTCATTGAAATGTTTGCCCGACGGCTCGCCGTATTAGGGCCTTGCCACAGCCGTATTACGGCTCTGCCGCTACCGTGTTTGCGGTGCACGTCAAAACGTTTTATAAGTATTTACACTCTGAGCTGGAGCCCGAGATATCGCTCATTTGTGAGTGATTTTTGCCGAAAGCCAGTCTGGATATTAAGGGCAACCCAAGTTTTTTGTACTCGTAAATGCCAATATTTCTTTTATGGTTAAACCAAGATCAGGATTTTTGATAAGTTTTTGATTTGTTGCATTGTACGAAAGAAATTTTTGACTTCGAATGAAAAAAATGTACATAGAGCATTTAAATAAAACGAACACTTATGTTCGTGGTTAGTTCGGTACAGTGTATGTATGTAAAACCATTAGCCTACTGACATTAAAGTACTTCATTAGTACTTGCAGACTTCGGAGATGTCACCGTATCACCCTTAAATATCCCAATTTCATGACGATGAAAAGATCAGAGTAATGGTCAAAATAATTGCTATGAATAATGTGAAGCTTACTTAGAACATCAATAAACGCGTTCCTTGCTAATTAATTACTATGATCACTAGTTCACTAATTACGATGATCACCAGTTCACTAATTACGACGATCACTAGCTTAAGCCCTAGTTTCACCATAATAATCGTTGAGAACATTGAATACATCATAAAATTTACTGTACTTGGTTAATAGTTCACATACAGAAATGTAATTG